AAACATACCTTTGATGTGTCTACTACTCATAGGAAAAGGATGAGGGCCAAAAAATAAAAAGTACATAAAAAATGAAAATATTTACAAATCCAAGGACCATGCTGCAAAATACGAAAGGCAGAGGGTACTCTCTTACCTCCAACGGTTATAAATACAGCCCCTACCCCCTAATTTCTGGCTACAATCATTGTAGTATTTTCCCACGGGACGCCTAAATAGAAACTAGGGTTCCAGCCATCTTCTGGGTTTTCGATCGTCAAGATCGGTCGATCTGCCGGAGATTTTTTCTGATTTTTAGGGAAAAAAAATAATTTGCCACCGGTTATTAGGTTCATTCTGTGTTTTCTGGACAAATCCTTGATTCGATCTCGAAGATAATGTCTCGGTGCTTTCCGTTCCCTCCGCCGGGGTATACACTGAGCGGAGCCAGGAATGAGGCTCTGATCGAATCGATTAAGGTTTGTTGCAGAAAAACCTTGATTGATTTGTGCATGATCTTAAGTCTTGGTCCGTAGAGGTATTAATGGGGGTTTTTTGGTGGGTTTAGTTGCTTCCCTATTCGGAATATGAAAATCCCAGAAAATTGACACCGGAGTTTTTGTTGAATATGAAATCCTCTGTGTAATATGTGTGCATAATCCTTAATGGGTGTGTTTGTGCGTGTTCTTGGACTATAACTTTTCTNNGAATTGGAGCTCAGGACAGTTTCGAAGTTGGGATTGGGTAGAATTATGTCGTAGGTTTTTTAGATAATGCTTGAGGGTTCAGTTGTTTGGTCTGTCGAGTGTTGATCATTACAGTAGACTCACCTAACTTGTTTGATTATCAACAAATCAGAAATTTGGTATGGTTTTTAGACACTTTGTGGCAAAATTTGGCAAAGTTTATTTTTTTTACATAAAAAAATCAACACGTGAAATGATCTTGGCATTTTAAAACATATTTACAATAATAAACAAAATAATATTATGCATGCATGTAGTGTATGTAGAGCACATCACTATCTGTAAAAATTAGAAATCCATATAAGTTGATAATTAATCTTGGGACATTGGTCCTTAGTTGTGATTTGAATGAAAATTGAGTAACAGAACTGCACAAAGTTAGTACGGATATATAGGACTTGGAATGTGTAAAAATGGATGATTTGTAGTACTGTTCTTTTGGCTTGTGGGAGCATGGTTTTTGGCCTAGAAGTGGCTTTTAAGTTTTCAAAGTCTAGACTAAGTATATCTTGTTTGTCTGTTGAGGAGAATCTTCATTTGGTTAATGGTGGTGCATGGAGTTTTTTCTCAAATAACATGTTTGAGTTGTTGGTAATGACATTGGTTATGCTCTGTAAAAGGTGATGACGCAGATGCAGTGGTAATGAATCAAGATATGGAATTTAAAACTCATTATTGCATATCGGGTTGGAATCCTCTTGTCTGCAATATATTTGTTGTTAATTACTAGAAACTTGTAATGTGAGCAAAGTCTACTTATTGTTGTCACCTTTGGTAGTAGAATAACTAGTTTTTCGTGTCAAAATGCTAGATAGAAGTTGTTTTTAGATTGTTGTCTAACTAAAGAAGAAAAATTAATTATAATAGTTATGAGACATGACCTTCGGGCTTAGATTTGACACCTATGTAAGAGAGTGATGTAAGTTTTTTAGATGTCATTGCATGTCTATCATGACCATTAAGAACTTGGTTTTAGTGGCTTTCATGTAGTGTTTGATCTTTGTCAGTCAACATGCCATTTGTGTGAGACTGAATGTTCGGCTTCTGTATTTTGTCGGGAGGAAACAAAAGTAGACAGTCTTCTGCTTTTATGGATGCAAGTTATATAAAATGTTTATGGTCTTGTGTCAAAATTTTCAGTTACTAAGTAATATTTTCTTGTTCTTGAGGTTTGTGTATCTAAATGTTTATTTGACAAAATTGGTAGGCACTCATGTTTGAGGTCTTTATGGTGTTGCACAAATTCGTTGTCTTATCTGATTCTTACTGCCACATAATGTGCCCGTGATCGAAGTTTTTTTGCTCTTTCCCTTCTCCTATTCTAAATCTTTTACTATGGTGCTCTAAAGCTCCAAAAGGAAAAAGAGAAGGGGAGGAAAGAGAAGAAAGAGAGAAGGAAGGAGAAGAAGGAGAAGAGGAAGGAGAGGAAAGAGAGAAGGAAAGAGAAGAAACACAAGACAAATCAGAATGTGGGGGAGTCGGATGTCCAGAAGCATCATGTTACAAAAGACGAGTCCGGTATTCCGAAGCATGATCTTGGGCAAAAGAGTTTTTCTGAGGTACTTCAGAAGAAAAAAGAAACTGAAAACAATCAGTTAGAACAAAGCAGTCTCACAGAGGAACATGCACACCCTGTTACTTTGTATGTTCCAAGCTCTTCTTCTGAAAGTACAGAGAACAGCAAAAAAAGGAAGAGGCACTCTCCACCTGAAGACGATACTTGTAGTAATGGTACTTTCTGAATCTCAAAACTCCCTCTTATTTAGGCGTTTATTATATGAAATTTGGTATAATTACAAAATTGCCCCTGAAATTTGATATAATTACAAAAGGCACATCCCCTACAATTGCAGCTCATAGACAAAGAGGGGCATTTTTAAGTTTTAATTGTAAAATAGGGAGAAATTATTTGAGATTATCTTCATGGCCTCATGGGTACTTTCTGTAACTGTTCCTAGTGTAGTTATGTTTCTAATTTTGTGTCATTATCGTGCAACAGGCCAAGTTTTCTTGATACGTTTGCCCTCAACGAAGCAGAATGAGCTTGACGATTTAGTCACGGAACAACAGCAGCCATGCTCGACATCTGTAAGGATAGACTCTCCTTCCAAAACCGATCACGAGAAAGATTGGCCAGAAAACTTTCCAAACGGGACAAGAAGTAATGACCGTGACCTCAATGCCAAAAATGGTGGTGAAAATGTCTGTTTGACTTCCCTACAAAAGTGTGATAAAATTGGAGATAAAGCTAATAAGCCAGAATCAGTTTTGAGTTCCATGCAAAAGATGGACATGCAGTACCAAAATCTGTTCAAGAACCTTTTTCCGCCACAGGTTGACGAAACATGGCTTTGTTCGGACAGTTTGGATTGGCTTCTCGAGGGCAATATTCAACGAGGTCAAGAAATACGAGCTGAGAAGAAGCCGTGTTCTGAAAATGTGAGCCTATCCTGTTCAAGAAGCTCGGTATCTTGGCCACGTGTGGAGTATTTGCCTGAAGTGGATGTTTATGCTCTGCCTTTTACGGTGCCTTATTGAGCTGTATTCATATATTTTGTAGAGAATTTGGAAGCTGTTGGTCTTTTGGTGCTCTGCTGGAGGACTTTTAGGATTTGTGTCTTTTTGGGGCATTCTCAAATTTTGAGGAGTGTTTGAAATTTGTCTGCTGACTAACGTAGTTCAGTTAGATTGTGTATGTAGTAATGCGACAATATCTGGTAGCCCAACTTATTCTAGTTGATGCCATTTATATGTATTAATAGATGAGTATTTTCATGGTCATATTTCTTGTATGTGCCTCTCTTTATAGTCCTGTAAGGTATCATTTTCTTGTGGTTTGGACTTTGGACCCTTTCTGTTAGCACCAATGCCAA